TTCCTAACATTAAGATTTCATACAATTGGTCCTAGAGTTAACTATGCCAAATGCATTGCATTAGAAGCATCAAATCAATTTATTTGTCTGCTATAAAGTCAAATTCCTCCTTTCACCAGTCACTGATTTTTATATGTAGAGACTTTCCAATCACAACTAGTGGACATTTTATAAGGATATTATGATAAACATGATAAATGTATTATGAAAAGAGGTTAATTAGAGATTTCCTATTTTGAAATGTGGGTGACTATGAGCCAATGATTTCAAAGGGACAAGAAAGTGATATTGTTCATGTTTTGACTATTATTAATATTTTAAAATGTGCATTCAAAGTGCTTGGGAAATCTGGATTGATTAGTATGCCAAGTAAAATATTGTGTGAAGTGAAAATAGAAAAAGAAATTACACATAAGTTGTTAGAATATGAAAGTAGCATACATTGGTAGGAATTCAAAGTGAGACAAAATATAATGTAACCAAAGGAAAAAGAAATTGGACTCATTCTTATATGTTAATGAGACCACACCTGGAATAATGCATTTAATGTGGGATACCTCTAACAAAAATGAACATCTAGGAAACTGGAAATAGTTCAGAGACAAGCAATAAGAATGATTACCGGTTTGAAAAGACTGAACTGCCAGAAGATTAAAAGGCCTTATATTTGTTTAACGTGGCTAACATGACTTAAAAGTGAGCATGATATCTGTTTATAAACATCTGAAGGCTGAGTGTAAGCATGGAAGAAGGAGTAGAGTTGCCTAATATGCTACTAAAATGATTCAACTGGAGAGAATTTTCAAGAGAAAATCTAAAAGTAAATATAATGAAGCCGTCTCCCAGAAAATGTGCATTTCCTTTCTTTTAGAGGCTCTGCCAAGAATGAGGAAATTTAGCAGGTCCCCTGAAGATTTGATTTCCTCACTTTCACAATCTAGTAGAAACCTTTTTAAGCTTGATCTGTCTGCACAAAATTACTCAGAAAGTGTGTTTATTTATAGATTTTAGAAAACCAGCAGCACAGGGCTCTAGATTCTTGGGCAACCATGTTTTATCTTCATTTGTTCTTGTAGTCTGTCATCAGTAGAGAGGCAGATTAAAAGACTGTTCAACCTTGTTCATATTAAGCTTGGTATTTAAAACTCCATACATCCAAAGCTCAAATGATTTGGCTTAGGTTTACTAAGAAACAACTGAATTATTGTATTTTTGAAAAATTGTGTATACTTCCAGCTGGAGTTCATAGATATACCAAAAGGTGCTCAAGAGATTTATTTTGGGATTATTTCTACAAGCATCCAGTCCTCTGCATTCTTTTTCTGTAAATGCAGTGTTTTATTCCAATTTTTAGCCTAAAATCTGTTCTTATTAAAGTGATGACCTGGCTTTTCCCTTAAGGTTGCTTTTAAATGAAATTAAAACAAAAATTATGTTTTGGATTATGAGCTCCTAGAGCACTTTTGTTTGTTTGATTTGACTTATACAAAATCTAATGCCAAAATAGAGCCAAGCACATTTGAAAAATAAACAAATGGTAAATGGTAACTGCAGAGGCATCCCACCCCAGAGAAGTTGGTTGAGGGAATTGCTAATAAGTGAATCTTGTATTTCCATTGATTTTCACTATAAAGTCATATATTTTGTATCTCCCCACTCCTCCCAACACATAGGCCTTTTCAGATTGAGTTTAACATGTACAAATATTCTGAGAGCCTGATTCATGTCATGCAGGATCCACTGGTGTTTTTGAATCACTTCTAGAATCTGGCAGCAGGTCTCTGACTTCAGTTTCTCCCATTGTTCTACCTTTTAGCCCTTTGAGTTTCTCCCATTGTTCTACTTTCCCTCTCTTCTTCCTTGTCCATAGAACTTCGTTGCAGTACTGGGCTAACAGATGCTGGGGAAGGGTAATGAGTAACTGATACAATATTTAAGGAAAGTAATTTGCTTTTTAACTATGTACTCATGAATTGTTTGCATTTTGCCATAAGTAAGACAGTAAGCAAAACAATAAATAATACATGAAGTTTAAAAAGATGCGTCAACTTCACAGACTTCAAGTATATTTTAAAGAACAATCATTAACTAAGCACAGAATTTAAAAAGTAATACCTCAAAGTAACTTGGAGTCACCATTTTGTTCTGGTAAGGAGAGGGGAGGCTTGAAAATGTATCTTGAAGAGCCCGAATAACATATGGAACGTAATTCTTTATACCAATGTTTCTGAAACTGTGTGTGAGATAATTTTAGGTGGTACATGAGAAATAACTTTTATTTCTACAACATAGTTTCCTTTGCAAGATTATCTTCTATTATTAGTTTTCCATTTATAGTGACTATAAAAATGCCCTTTATCAGATAAATTTATTTAATAAAAATAGATTATTTAAAGATACATATTAAGTCAATAATATTATAGGTGATATGGCTACAATTATAAAAGTGGTACTCAATGTAAATGCTGGAAATAATACCTCATTTAAACAAACAATACATTTTTGCCTTTATAACCCTAAAATTCTATTTCCTATGTTAAACTTATTTCAAATGTGGACTGAAAATATGACCTTTTATCTCACTCCTAGTGGTGTCCATGTTAATGTGTATATTTAATATAACTATTAGAAGGTAGTAATATGAAGTCACATAACTAACATATTATTCTGGGTTTAAAAAATAATTTCTGTTCATGTATTCTTATCTAGATGTATAAAAAGCTATGCAGGAGCAAAATGACCTTGAAAGCAAGGTCAGTGTAACTGAAAAATCTGACTTTAGAAGGGTACAAAGACACATGCTAAAAAAAGTCAACCTGCGTTTATGTTAACATGCTATACTAAAGTATGAATTTTTATTTTATTCAAATTATGCATCTCCCACCTTTTTTTATAGGTGAAACTAGCATATAATATTTTATGTCAAAATGAAATTCAAAATGTTGTTGCCTTTTGAGGACAGTATTAAATTCATAATTGTACTTAATTCTTACATGATACTTGCTATAGCCATAGAGAATTCTTAGACACTATGATTCACAAAATATTTAAATTGCATATTTGGCTTGTAACATATTACATATTAAAATAATTACTGTTTTTCTGAATACCATTAATATTAACAATAGCATCGCAATGACTAAGAGTGAACTTAAAGACTGGTTTGAAACTCAGTTCTGCTATTTATTAGCAAACTTCTATAAATTCTGAGCCCTTAGTTTTCTCACATGTGAAATGGAGAAAATAAATCTGCAAAATTAATTAAGTCTGCCCATTGATATTTTTCTCTCCAGTGTATGTTAACTGGCATTCCTCCTTAGGCCAGAATGTGCTCTCAACCATGCTCCAAATCCCCTTTGTGCCAAACCCACTGCCAGAACCCTTTCTACCTTGAGAACCAGAAAAGGAAACATTATGCCTGGCAATGCCTACAGCTTCCAAAATAAATCTGCAGGAAAGAACACCCAGTAAGTGATGAGAGCAGCAACGACGGCCTTTATCATTTTAAATTTACAACTCCACCTTTTCTAGAGCCTCTTAAGCATTGTAGATAATACCCCACTCATTAAAAAATAAATTGTAACCGTAAGTGTTCAGTGTTGATAACTGCTTTTGAATTGGACAGTGTATCAGTTGTGTAAAAGACCAACCTGAAGTTGAGGATGAAATCTTTTTTCCAAAGCTTTTTATAACGTAACTTAGTGAATAATATATTAAAACTAAACTTTCTTTGAATGGGAGTAATTTCAACGGGTTAATCTGTAATCTCTTAGACCACTCTTAGAACTAAGGTAATGTAGAGGTTGCTTGTTGTATCATAGGCTTTGTGATTAGAGACCACTGGATTTGTTTTTGGAAAAGTTACTCATGACTCTTAGGGCTTTGGTTTCCTTATCTTTTATACCGGCTTAATAATGACCAAAGTAGAGTTGTCATGAAAATCAAATGAACTCGTACCACAAGTGACCAGTACAATGAATTTATCAATAAAGTAAAACAGTTCTTATCAATATGACAAAGAAGAGGCCGCTAAAATAGACAATAGGTTTTTGGAAGAGGTGATTATATGGACGCGAAATTTATGGATTATTTATGCGGTCTACCTCTGCTGTGTCCCCTGGTTGTAGTATACACACATGTGCGTATGGAATCGTAAATCCTATGTTGGAGCGTAATGCATGCGGCTTAGGCACGAAATGTCATTTCAGCAATGTGCCTAGGGAAGCTCTGACGCTGCCTTGGAATAAGTCGTTTCTGCTTGACCTTTGGGCGTCTGGGAGGGATGCCTATACCTGCACCCAGCACTGGAAGGGGCCCAGGCCCTTCCCAGCACAGCCTATCCCCAGGCTGCTTAGTCCTTCATAACATACATCTCTACGGAAAAGGGTATTTCCTCCCGTCAGAAAAAGCGCCCCAGTCTGGTCTGGGTTAGTTTTTATTTCACGTTGTTGCAAGTAGGCGAAGTCCCTTCAGTCTCCTCCCCTGGGGTAAGTGGAAAGGAGTCCGGCAGGGGGCTCGCAGTGGCCTGCACAGGGGAACTGGGTAGCCAGAGAGTTCCAGGCAATTCCGGGGGCTGCCCCACAGAAGCAGGTGGGGATCCACAGCGGTTCTTTCGCTCAGGGAGAAGAGCGCGGCCGCGGGTCCCTCCCCTCAGCCTGGAGGCTGCAGCCGCTCGAGCCGGCCCGGGTGGGGGCGGGGTGGGGGTGGCGCGGAGGGCGCGGAGATTACAGCGGCGCCACCCGGGACATCCAGGCCCCAGAGGCCCAGCGCGGTCCCCACGCGAGATCGCCAACGATGACAATAGGCCGTCACCCGAGGTCGAATAACAACGGAGTGGGTCCCCCGCGCGCCGCCGCCTCCCGCGTCCCTGGCGGCCTGCCCCGCGGCCCCCGGCGGCCTCCCGCGCCCGCAGTAGCTGGCGGCGACGTCGCCCCCGCCCCACCTCCGCGCGCAAGTGCGAGGCTGTCCGCGGCGCGGCGCACGCTCCGGCCGTTCCCCGCTTCCGCGCAAAACTTCCACTCGGTCCGCGTGAAGTTGTCGCTGCCTTAGAGAGGGGAGCTGAGGGAAGAGCCGGGGAGTGACGACGGCGGCGGCTGGGCGCGCGCTCTCTTTTACTTTTCTTCTCCTTTACCCTCGGTCGCAGTCGGGGTTTGGGCTCCTCTCCTTCCCTCCTCCCCCACCCCCCCGGAGCCGGCTTCTCTCCCCCGCCCCGCTTCTCCCCCGCTTGTGTACGCTATTTGTTGTGGGGTGGCCGAAGGGGATGTCCTGTTTTCACCAGAGGCACAGCGCGAAGGGAAAACTTCGACACTGGAAGGAAGGAGAATAAATACTTAATTACGGACGCACGGAACCGCGGCTGGGACAGACACTTTGGGAACCCGAGGCGGTCCAGGCTACGAGGTGAGTGTCCCGTTCTTCCGATCCCCGTCCCGGGGCTCCTGGGTGAGCCTGAGTTTGGAGAGCCCCCAAACTCTCCGGGAAAGTGCTCGAGGCTCCGCTGCGAACGCTGAACCGTGGGGACCGAAGACGCGCAGCTGGACGGTGCGTTGGCGCCGGCGTCCCCCGGGGCGCTTGGAGGCCGGGTGCCCCACGCCTCAGGGCCCGGGCCGCTAGGATTGCAGCGGTGCTCTCAGCCCTGGAGGACGTCCCCACGTCCCAAGGGTCCCCTCGGAACCGGCCTGTCCCTTCCTGAGTCGGCGCGGAGCCTGAGCGTAACAGAGTTGGTCGCCCCTCGCAGTCCAGCGCGCCGCTTCTACCTGCACCCGCCTCCACCTGGCCGAGGCGCACGCGTCGGGGTCTCCCCCACATCTTGCCTATGATATGTATTATTTTCTGATGACCCTAGATGGCCAAGGCTCGAGGATGCTGACCCAGCGTCCCTCGGAGGGTCCCAGGAGCCTGGGCTTTCCCGATGCCGGGTGCGTGTGTACTTTACAGGCTCGCGCTCTAATCTCCGGGCACTGATCGGGCTTTTCAACAGCGGCGATCCCACTTTAATAGTTTTTATGTGGCGTGGACTGAATGTCTCCTGCAGTTTGCCAGGGTCCGTGAAATTAGAGGCGCGTTGTCAGAGCAGTCGCGTTCTTTGGCTCGAGTAGCGGGTGCCCCATGGAAGGCTTATAATTTCTCCAAAGGAAGGGGTCTGGATGGGGAGAGCAGGTTTTTCCCTCCTTCCAAGCCTGCTGGGTCTGGGGAGGCTGTGGGACTTGATATGGTTTGGATTTTTAGCGTGGTTAAGCGGGGTTTGGAAGTAGACGTGTGTGTGCTCGTTTTATTCTGCGCCGCACAGCAACCCGAACTTTCGATTGGTAGCACTTGAAAGAGTTTTCTCTCTTTGTCTGCGAGATTCGGAACAGCTCGGACCGGATTAGGGAATTTGCGGACCGAGTCTGGTGGCAGAGTTGTGGCAAAGGCGGAAAGCTCAATTTAATTTTTCCCATATCTTCCCTGCTTGGGGGGACAGTGTCTCCCTTCACTACCACCCCTCTTTCTTCTTCCTATGAAGAAGAAGGGGTTTGCGCCGAGTGAGAGTGTCCGGGGGAGGGTGGTGTGGAGACTGTCCTCCCTCATCGCGTCCCCTGCGCCTCTACTCTTCATCCCCAGCAGTCCAAAAGAGTCATTCATGAATCTTAACCTGAGGGCAGAGGAGGAAGGTGCAGGTCCCTCTGCCTTTTCTGCCAAGGTGCAGAATAGCACCCGGGCGTGTGTTATGGTTCCCGAGCAGTTCCACGTGGAGCACCTCTGTGTGCGTGTGTGTTGTGTACTTGATCTGTGAGGAGGTAACAGGAGTCTGGTGTTCAAACCCAGTGGGCCGTTGGCCATTAGTTTGCTTTCCTGGCTGTCATTACAGACACTTCCAAAATCTGATACCTAAGAGAACCAACAGGTTAGGTTTCACATTAAGAGCTCATACTTAACAGTTTTCTTTCTCCCTTACCCCTTTTGGCTTGGCACCCTGGGATCAACGTAATTGTTGGAGTGAAATACATCTCGTGGAATATGGCATTTTGTTCCTCTTCTCCTCTGCGGCCACTTTGTGAACCCTCGGGCGTTTGTCAGTTTCAGTGCGGGCTCCTGCGGGATTTAGGTGGGAGTCTTAGGAGCGTTTAACAACCGCGGGCTCCCTATCAACAGCTTCTGAAGTTTCACTTACACGTAGGTGACTGACAGGACTAAAAGTTGACCATGGTTTTTTTGTTTGTTGCGTTGTTTTTGTTTTTGTTTTTTTTAAACCTCAGGGCAAGGATTGCACTTGAATTCCTTTCCCCGGTACAATTTGGTTTTAAGCAGAATCAGTGCCTTTTTTTTTTTTTCTTTTCTTTTAAAATATTGTTGGCAAGCTTATACCTGAAGAACCAAAAACTAGAGGGGGCAGGAAGAGAATCCCAAAACAAAATATTTGATATGTGGTATGGGGCGTTTTAGGAGACTGCATTCAAAAACATTTGTGTATTTTTAAAAATAACATTATCCCAAGAAATATAAAGCAATAGTAACAAGAAACAAACTGTTTTTGGAGCTAGACTGCCAGAATCTGATTTTTATGGCAACAATATCGAAAGCAGATATAACTACCCCCACATTTATTGTTATAAACCGTAAAAATACTTTGTTCCACCTGATTAAAAGTTGTAACTCATTCAAAGTTAAACTGGTATTTAGAAATGACTGTACAAGAATGTTAAAACTTTTGACAGCTACAGCTTTGAAAGCAACATAATTAGATTTGTTGGAAACAGTTCTTTTCCATGATTATTAGGGACATGTCCTTGTCTTTCTTCATAAGTAAAGGTCTAAAATCAATATGGTTTTCAAAAGCCTGTTTTCCTTTATAAATTTCCTGAAAATAGTATGTTTCAATATTTAAAGGCCATTTGTAACTACAGGTTGGTTCACAATTATAACTGAAATAGGATTTACTCCATTGTTTTATTTTTATTAGTATTTATTGAGATTTGAATTTCTCATTTCCAAAATAAAAAGTTTCACATACATGTATATATTCACAATTAACATTTTTAAAGTAGTGTGTTCAAGTTTTAAAATTTTAAAAATCTTAAGATTTGTATAAAAAAGAATGATTGTATAAATATCATTAATTGTTAAGAAAAATAGATGCTGAATTTTAGAGGCTTTCTAGAAGCTGAAGAAAAAAATTTTCTGCCTAGAAGTTTCTTTTTCGAGGGGTGACTGGCAGATGAATTCTTGTCATTTTGCTATAATTTATTTTATTTTATTTTTTTTAAGAAGCCTCTGAGTTAAAAAAAAAGAAAAAAAGAAAAACAAGTTATCTATTTCTAAGAGTTTCCTTTTTATTTATGTTGTGCTTTGGGGTGTAAATAAATTTTACATAGCCATGGGAAATAGAGTGTCCAGTTTCATGTTTTCAATCTCTGTTGTAAGCTCTAAATGACTGGTGTCGTGTCTAAAAATATATTTATATGGCTTGATATTTCATTTTTAAATTTTATGCACTGGAATTAGATTATTTAGAATTTTTAGAAAAGCAGAATGGTAGAAAGACCATGACTATTGTCATAAAAAGTTAGGATGTTAGGAAGTTCACATTCTAACTTTCAAATAATAAAATTAAACTTATTTTGCCCTACAAAACTTCACAGTTTTTATACAGAATTCAAGAATAGGGGAGATAATCTTTTTCAAGACTTAGTTAAGTCTTAAGTACTTTAAGAATGCAAATATTTATTTTGTTTTCTCATTATCATTTTTTTTCTATTAGGTAAATGCAGGAACACTGGACATTCAGTAAAAACAGGCCCCTCTTTATAAGGAGTTTATTCACCATAGTTCTGTATTGCAGCTGCTGATCATATTTCATGGAGCTGTTAAAGCACTTAAAACCTAAATTTAGGTACTGTCTGGTTGTAAATATTTCATATCACTCATTTAAGAAATAGAAAAGCATGCTATCAAAAGTAGGAGACGTTTTGAATCCTCTCACTGAAGAGCTGAACAAAACTCTATCAAAACACCTTCTTATTTTTTCAGTGAGAATATAATCTTGACAGTTTCTTTTTCTAAATGGTTATTATTCTTACATATACTGAATGCTAAACTTTTATAATGTGCCTCCCTATAGAATATCTTAAACTAATATATTCAGAAATACAGTTCAGGGATTTTATTACAATGGTTACTAGGTGAAGGAAATCAACACCGGGGGAATGGGGTGGCATTGCAGTGTACCTGCTTCTCTCATGAATTTTTCCCAGTGAACTAAGAAATGACATCCTCCTTCAGGCATTTGCCCTGGAGATGGGTGAGATGCAATGGTGTAATGAAATTGCAATATGTGTAATACTGCATCCTGTAGTTCGATGTGTTTTAATGAGGGGGACACTGCATATTTATTAAATCATTCTTGGAGCCAAACTTGGTGTCATTTAGCCTGAACTTAAGAGAAGAAAATGATCAAGAGTTACACATTAAAAGGCAGTACAGGCAACTTTGATTGCTTTTAAGAGGTTTGAAGACTTTGTAAACATTGCTGTCACTTACTATTGCTTGTGCAACTGCACATTCATATATGCCTTGGTGATATGTCATTTTACTCTTGAAGTTTGTGATTCTTGGTGTTTCTCCATCCATATTTTCATTAGTATGAGAGAGTGAAAATGAACACCACTATTCTTACTCCCCTAACCTCTTCCACATCTCCAGAAAAAGAGATGAAACGGATTAATTTAAAATGGAAGCCATTTTGTGTTATCAAAACCATATTTATAGAGTGGTTCGAGACAGTTTCAGAGAGTGCACTTCTGAGTCTCACTGTAACCTTTTTCGTCATTGAAAGGTGCTAATTGATCTTAGGGCACTGACATAATAGTATAGTTTGATATTTGAAACCTTTCAGAGTTGGTCTGGCCCTTTTCTTACCCTGAGATTTCAATGCATGGATGATGAAGAAAGACACCATTCTAAAATATCAGAAATTCTCATTTTTTTCAGTATGAAGATGTTTTAATACAGCATATTCATATTTCTAAAGCTTTTATTTACGTACAGTAAGTAAATTTATTTTAACATACTTTCGGACTATAAGAGAAAGACCTATATGTACGATCGTGTTAGAATTGTTTACATTTCTTTTCCCCGCATAGGTAATTTATTTAGGTTATAATTTTTAGGCAAAGTCTGATTGCTATTATCACATGAATATTTTCAAAGTGAAATTGCATTAAACCAATGTGGAATAGCTCTCATATCTGAGAGCATATTTTCTTGATTATATCCTAAAGTGTATTTGTAAATAAAAGTGGTTGCTTTGGTCTTTAGATAGTTGCAGTTTTGCTGTCTATTAAGTCATCATCATTGTTACTGTAATATTGATCACTATCACCATGATAATATCATAGCTAGCATTTACTTAGAATTTCATG